CTTCGAAAATACTCAAGTACTACCAGTAGAGTACTCTACTGTCAAATACCTTTTACTCGCAGTAGTTGCGGAAGGCAAAGTAAATACTCTACGCGTGTTGCTATTGATCGGTAGTTTACGTACGCTTGCTGAAACTGGTTTATGCTTACTCACAATTGACCCGAACGATGAAAGTAGGGGATGGAAAGTATTTGCGCGGCGATCGGATGTCTTGTTGGGCCGTTTAAATGGAATTGCGCAGGAGTCTAGTATGTATGTATACCTCATTTTAAATATGCTTGCATATCAACACATTATGCATATGTATTGCACATTAAATTCCCCATCAGATGGTGGTGGTCTCCTCACTGCTGCTGCTGTTGCTACTTTTTACAGTTTTAATTAGCTATGCAATGTTAAGTAAGTCGCCGCTTCATTGCCAACGATTCGTTGCCGTTACTTGTTGTTGTTGCGATATGGTTTGCTGACTGGTACTGGAGCTGTTGCCGGTGGTGGTGGTGGTGATGGTAGTGGCAGTGTTGGTGTAGAAGGGCAACCGCAGCTAATTGCCAGTTAAGTGAAGTAATAACTGTAAGAGACCTTTTTGCATACCGCGAACGTAACTGCGACCATATCCAAGTTCAAATTAGATTCTAAATGCGTGTGAAGTACGAACGAAGCCGCACAAATCAAAACAAAAAAAAAAGTTAAAAAAAAAATCGGTTCCCAGCAAAATTCGAATGTTCAATGAAAATGGAAATAAACATTTGAATGCCTTTATTTTCTCAAAAACCTTTTGTTTATCGCTCTCTGTGTAAGCTTTAAGGTCTTCTTGCTTATTTGTAGATATACATATGTACATCCTTTCCATCGCCTACGTTCATAGCATTTTAGGCAGTCTTGTAATAAAATACTAATGTGCGCAAGCGTAGAGTGTCCTACAGCGCATAAAACTAAAGCCAATTATCTGTAAATTCCATGAAAGTCTGAGTCGCTTGAACAGATTTTTGCGTGCAACATTTGGCTATGGAAAAGGAATACGAACGCCGAAAAAAATAAGCAAAAAAGAGGAGCAGTCGCAGTTCGGCATTAAAAAGGTTTTAGCGAGAAAAAGGAATTGTAGTGGGTATTACACCCTGCGATAGTAAATTTTACACACAAAAAACTTAATATATTCGCAAAACTATGGCTAAATTATAGTAAAACTGCGTACTTAGTTTTTCTCTCTAATGTCAGGATTTTTTAAAGGAGTTTGAAAATTAAAAAAAAAAATATTATTTCAAAAAATTATTTTAAAAATTCCGTGCAATGTCGGATACCAACAAGGGTATCATGCAAGAAAAATTTTTGTAGAATTATAACAGAATAAATGTTTGGTGCATAAGACTGAATGGGTATGGAAAATGTCCTTAATAAGTTTTTTCCTTAGATATCCTTGAAAATTTGCAATATTTATTTTTGAAAAAATTATTGTTTGAGAACTAATATACACACGACCTCATCATCGAATTTCTTTCGGCCTGCAAACTTTATTAACTTAAAAAGATAAAATTTATTAAAAGTGCATTTTCAATACCTATTCGAAATCATTT